TCAGAGGGTGGCACTGGGAACTGGTACAGGGACCTGCAGAAGAGCCGTAGTGAGTGAGGATGCCACCTTGCTGAGATTGGGAGAGGGGCCTGCAGGTCCTGGGATTCCTGACCACATCCTTGGTGCCCAGGGCTGGAAGGTTCTGTCTGGAAATGTGACAGGCTCCTGTTGAATGGCCCTGTGCTTTGTTAGGCCCCACAGCCCACACAGAGGGAGGTACTATGGGCACAGGTGTCATGCTGCTCTGCTCTGCATGTGGCAGGCAGGGCCATCCTCAGGGTTACCTTAGTGCCATGAGTAGGGACGCACCCATTTTGCAGGAGGTGCTCTTTTTTCTTTTTTGAGACAGAGCCTCAAGCTGTCCCCCTGGGTAGAGTGCTGTGGCATCACAGCTCACAGCAACCTCTAATTCCTGGGCTCAAGGGAGTCTCCTGCCTCCGCCTCCCAAGTAGCTGGGACCACAGGCACCCACCACAATGCCTGGCTATTTTTTGCCAAACATCATTGTTGTTTGGCAGCCCGGGCTGGATTTGAACCCACCACCTTAGGTGTATGTGGCTGGCAGGAGGTGCTCTTAATGGCTTTTGTTCTCCTGCTTCCCTGCATACCCTGGTGCCTTCCTGAAGACATTCTCAAGAGCTCATGCTGTGCATCTGCTCTGTGGGGGAAGTGCTGGGACCTGTACCAGCATGTCCCTGGACACTACAGCTGCTGATCCCTCACACAGGGCTTTCCCCACAGGGCTGCCGGAGCGTGGAGGAGTTCCAGTGCCTGAACAGGATTGAAGAAGGCACCTATGGGGTAGTGTACAGGGCAAAGGACAAGAAGACAGGTACATGAGTACCAGGGGTCCCACAAAGGAAGGGGACTGATGCAGATACTGGGTACTTAGAGAGCGACCTTCCCATAGGGCCAGCTCTGGCCTGTCTTTAGATAGGAAGGGGCCCTCCTAAGGAGCAGTGGCAGGGGTCTATACCCTCTGTCCTCTGAGTGTTCTATCAACAGGTGGCACTTCCCATGCATAGCACCTTGTGGCCTATGGCAGGGCCAGCAAGCCACAAGCTGAGATGAGAGACCTGCCCAGCCTATGCCCACACTCTGTGCACCTTTGTTGTGAGGTTGGATTCATTTCACACGCACATAGTCCCTCGTCCCCCCCACACACACTTCCTGGACCTCAGGCTGCACCATACCTGGCCAATACCAGGTCATGCCACCTCTGAGCAGCTATTCAGAGGTTAGATCCCTCAGCACCTTCAGAAGCCAGAGGGCAGCTAGGCCCTCAGTCTCTGCCACTCATTTGTGGCAGTGGCAGTGTGTCCCACAGTGGAGATAGGGCCAAGAGGGCCAGGTGTCCACATTGGGCCAGTGTGAAGGTCCAACTCAGCTGTGCCAGGCAGAGTGATGCTCCTAAGCAGGTGCCAGGCTGTGGACTCTGCAGGGCTCAACTGGTTCTGCAGGGAAGTCAGGGCCCCATCAGAAGCCTGAGTTACTGGTGTATTGAGACGCAGAAGTGTGTGACTGCCATGGCAGCTCCCTCTCAGCAACCTATCTCTAAACTTGCTCTGCAGATGAAATTGTGGCTCTGAAGCGGCTGAAAATGGAGAAGGAGAAGGAGGGCTTCCCAATCACGTCGCTGAGGGAAATCAACACCATCCTTAAGGCCCAGCACCCCAACATTGTCACTGTCAGGGTGAGCCTCCCCCACCTACTCGCATGCCTTGCTGGGAAAGCCTGGGCCTGTGTCAGCTTGTCCTGCAGGTGGCCTCCATGGGCCTGTGTCATCTTGTCCTGCGGGTGGCAGGCCTCTCTGGTGGGGTGGAGATGGGCCAGCAGGGCCTCCCTGCCCCTCAGTGTCTGCAGCCGTGGTCTTGGGTGTCCTGGCAGGGGTGGGTGTGGGCCTGGAGGCTATGCCCAGCACTCAGGCCTGCGGCCATGTCCAGGAGATCGTGGTGGGCAGCAACATGGATAAAATCTACATTGTGATGAACTATGTGGAGCATGATCTCAAGAGCCTGATGGAGACCATGAAGCAGCCCTTCCTGCCAGGTGGGTGCCGGCCGCAGACACACGCCCTGCGAGCCACCATTGGCCTTGGGCTGGTGACACCATGGTGTAGAGGGCCTGCTGGGCTGGAGGTCTGGGAAGCCTCTGGTTGTCACCGAGATGCATAGATGGCCCTTGAAGGACTGTGTACCAGGGGCTATACCAGACCTATCCTAGGGGCTGTGAGGGTTCATGGAGGGCTGGGGGCATGTGTGTGATCTCATCGCTGTCCCAGGGGAGGTAAAGACTCTGATGATCCAGCTGCTGCGTGGGGTGAAGCACCTACATGACAACTGGATCCTGCACCGAGACCTGAAGACGTCCAACCTGCTGCTGAGCCATGCCGGCATCCTCAAGGTGAGCCTTGTAGGGGGTGCCCTGGCCCAGCCCCGAGTTCTGCCCATAACCCGTCCCTCTGTCCTTGCAGGTGGGCGACTTTGGGCTAGCACGGGAGTATGGGTCCCCTCTGAAGGCCTACACCCCTGTGGTGGTGACCCTGTGGTACCGTGCCCCAGAGCTTCTGCTTGGTGCCAAGGTGAGTCCCCACACGAAACCTCACACAGACACGTGGCCGGGCACTGGAGGTGCAGCCTGGCCAGCACTCCTGTCCTGAGCTGTGTCCTTGGATTTGTAGGAGTACTCCACAGCTGTGGACATGTGGTCAGTGGGCTGCATCTTTGGGGAGCTGCTGACTCAGAAGCCTCTGTTCCCTGGGAAGTCAGAACTTGATCAGATCAACAAAGTATTCAAGGTGAATCTGGAGGCCTGGGCCACACCTGTCCACCTGTAGACTTTGGGCTCCTTCCTCTAGGTCTCCTCTGGGGTTGTGCATGCTGCCAGAGGAAAGGGGCTGGCCAGAGCTATGCCTGTGATGAGCTTAGGTGGGGCTGGGGTCAGGGCTGAGATGTGACCTGTTGGTGGCTGACTCATAACCAGCACACATATGTTGGCACCTGTGCCATTTGTCGGAATTCTTCCCTGCAGGATATGGCTGGTTTAGACATTCTTTTTTTTTTTTTTTTTTTGAGACAGAGCCTCAAGCTGTCCCCCTGGGTAGAGTGCTGTGGCATTACAGCTCACAACAACCTCCAACTCCTGGGCTCAAGCGAGTCTCCTGCCTCCGCCTCCCAAGTAGCTGGGACCACAGGCGCCCGCCACAACGCCTGGCTATTTTTTGGTTACAGCCGTCATTGTTGTTTGGCGGGTCCAGGCTGGGGAATCGAACCCGCCACCTTAGGTGTACGTGGCTGGCGCCTTAGCCAGTTGAGCTATAGGCGCCGAGCCGACATTCTTATCTTTTAGGACCTGGGGACCCCCAGTGAGAAAATCTGGCCTGGCTACAATGACCTCCCAGCAGTGAAGAAGATGACTTTCAGCGAGCACCCCTATAACAACCTCCGCAAGCGTTTTGGGGCCCTGCTATCAGACCAGGGCTTTGATCTCATGAACAAGTCAGTCCCTGCCACTGGGGGCTGGGTGGGGCAGGAGTGTTGTCATACTGCAGACACAGGAGCCCTGAGCCCAGAATGGACTTCCTGGCACCCCACACCTTGTCCTTAAGGGAGGCTCACCAAACACTTTTGTTCCCCAGGTTCCTGACCTACTACCCTGGGAGAAGGATCAATGCTGAAGATGGCCTCAAGCACGAGTATTTTCGCGAGACCCCCCTTCCCATCGAGCCCTCCATGTTCCCCACGTGGCCTGCCAAGAGCGAGCAGCAGCGGGTGAAGCGGGGTACCAGCCCACGGCCCCCTGAGGGAGGCCTGGGCTACAGCCAGCTGGTGAGGCCTGGGCCAGTGGGGGTCCTGGGGTGGGGCTTACTGGGTCAGGGTCCTCATGGTGCCTGGCCCCCTGTGCAGGGTGATGACGACCTGAAGGAGACTGGCTTCCACCTCACTACCACAAACCAGGGGGCCTCAGCTGCAGGCCCTGGCTTTAGCCTCAAGTTCTGAAGGTCCGAGCAGGCCCAGCCAAGCCCCAGCCTCAGGGAGAAGGGACCCCGACCCTGATGTGGACACAGCTACTGTAGCTGGAGGCTCCCAAGCCTTGGAATGCTTCGTCTTGCTTGGTTTTCCATGTTTTATTTTTATATTATTTTGGTTTGTAAATTTGTAGCATTAAATCACATTTTCCTTGTGGAGGAAAGGCTGTATGTGTCAGGGACCTCTGACTTGCCCAGCGGGGCAGCTCCCCCCCACACAGGATGAGCTGGGCCACGATGTGCACGGAGCTGGGGGTGTCTACTTCTCAGGCTTCAGGGATGGAGACCTGTTTGTGCACTGGGATGAGCAAGACCTTCCTGCCCCTCACCTGCGTGTCTGGACCAGCCCTGTCCCCCCAGGCCTCAGCCCCTGGTTTGCAGCCGCTTTAGCCACTGAGAGTTTTTAAACACAGGTTGTTAGAAGTCTTTAAATGTAGTAAAATACTCTTGGAGGAAACGCTGATGTGTCCTTTTAGTAGGCTGATCCCAAGCTGGGTCACATGGGTATGCTGTGGAGGGAGTCACAGGCCACTGGGCTCTGGGAGAAGACGACAGGTGATGTGGGGCTCAGCCTTGTGGCCTCTGACCCCACTTTTCTTGGCCTCTCCAGCTGAGCAAGCCATCAGCCTCAGGGAGCAGAAGTGTTCAGCACCTTTCTGGGGCCTCATCTGTGCCCCAGCCCCATCCACACTCCCTCACAGGAGGCCTTGGAGGTACAGCCACCTCCTTCAGGAAGCTTTCCTTGCCTCACCCATCTATGGGTAGGGACTGCAGGCACATGGGCTGTCCTACTGGCACCCAGACCCCACCTTGAGCCCTTCTCACCCTATCCACTGCATCTTGGCCCCAAGGGACTGGAGAAGGACTGTCCTAGCCCTGGGGTTCCCCAGAGACTGGATGAGGTTTACCACCCCACCTGCTGTAAGTCCTAACCTGGCTGCCCACCACCCTCCCAAGAAAGGGCACAGAGACCTCAGAGAGAAAGTGCTTTATCAGCCAAGAGGCCACTCAAAGGGCTCCAGGAGCTCAGCTCCTCACACGGACACGCCAGGAGTAGGTGGTGAGCACACGCTGGTGCCGGCGCACCACACATGTGTAGGTGCCCTCGTTGATGGCATTGGCGATAATGCTCAGGTGTGCCTCGCCCAGAGCCAGGTAGCCGGGGTAGGAGAACTCCAGGGGCTCCTGGTCCTTGTACCAGCTGTGGGGGAGGGGCTCCTGCAGGCACCGCCCACCATCCACTGCCCACCCTGACCCCAGGACAGGCCCCAAGGTGACAGGCCACTCACTACACTTTGCCTTTCTTGTGGAGGATCTTCTGGCCGCAGCGGAAGGTCACATTCCTCCCTTCAGGCACCAGCTTGGTTTTGGTCCTGAAGGGTGGCGGGGTAGCAGCCACCGTGGGGAAGGGGAATTCTGCAGAGGGAGGGCCACATCAGCGTTCCACCCAACCATGACCAGGGTCTGCTCTGGGACACCAGGGCCCCATCCCGGGCGGCACCATAGCAGAAGTCACAGCTGCTGGGGCAGAGCCTCTTCATGAGCCGCTGGCGAGTATCACAGAAGCCCCTCCGAGCCCAGGACTCACATACAAACAGCCGGTCCAGGCAACCTGAGGAGGGTAGCCTAGCTCAGGGCCGCGCCCCGCCCCCGGCCCCGCCCCCCCCCCCCCCCCCTCCCCATAGGGTCTCACCGTAGAGCCGGTGCAGCCCCCACAGCTCGTCCTGCGACAGCGCCTTCCAGCCGCGCAGCGTGGCATTGAGGTGCATGAGTGCCCGGTTGTGCTGCGAGTGCATCAGGCCCAGCGCGTGGCCGATCTCGTGGGCCGCCACGTGCACCAGGTCTGTGAGCCACACTCCTGCAGGCCCTATGGATCAGCGTCCCAGAGCCCCCGGCCCAGCCAGCCCCTCGGCCCGCAGGCCTACTCCTCCGGGCCCGCTCATCTGCTGGAGCTCAGCAGTGGATCCGCCCTCGCCACAGCCTCAGGAAGATAAGCCTCAGGGCCTAGGCAGTGAGCTCGGTTCCCAGGAATGTGGCTCAGTCCAGCGCCCTCTCCAGCGGCGGGGGTTGGAGTGGGGAGGGGAGTTCAAGACTGCTGGCCCCAGGCCTGTGGGCTCCCACAGCTACCTCTTGCCTGCTTGGTCCCACAGCAACCACCACCCCCTGGAAGTCCTTCCTGCTGTCTGACCCAAAGCCCTCCCGCTGCAGCCCACGGTGGTGCAGAGAAAGACCCCAGAAAGCCATCCTGACGGGTCACCTTTCTTCCAGCTGTAGCGTGTAGGGCCCAGAACCCAGTACTCGCTATCGTCAAAGTGGATGCCGCCATGTGGGGGGAAGAAGGCATGGGCCAACTCCCCCGTGGGACCATCGAAGCAGTGGTGCAGTGCGGAGACCAGGCAGTCCGTGTGGTTGACTGGGTAGAAGCCTGGGGGAGACAGGGCTGAGAGCGCGCCCCACCAAGGGGCCAGACGCCCACCTATCCGCAGGTTGCCCACCTATCCGCAGGTCGCTGGGCTGTTCAGGGGCCACCTCGCGGAAGCTGAAGGGGGACACGTCGCTCCACATGCGGAAGGCGGCTGCCAGGCCCCGCCGAGTCTCTCGGGGGGTTAGCAGGTTCTTTGGGAAAGAGAGGATCCTGGGGCAAGGGTCAAGGTTGGGGTGGCCAGGCTGAAACCACGCTGGCTTCCCCCAGGGCCAGGCCGAACCTGTAGGTGAGGTTAAAGTGGTCCCAGCGCAGCCTGTCCGGGGTTAGCGTATAACGGCGTCTGCGGGGGGGCAGTGGGCCTGGGATCCAGGTGGCCGGGACCCCAGAGGTGTCCGGAGCAGTGATGTCTCCCTTCAAGGGCAGAAGGTGTGTGGCGAGAGCCAGCAGGGTCTGTCCCCAAGCCCAGAAGCTGGTGCGGAAAGCAGACTGGGAAGGGGTGCGCGGGGTGGGGGAGGGTGTTGGCGTTCCCTTTTTCTGTCTCTGTGTTTTCTGGTTTCCTGTCCTGAGAGTGTGTTACTTTTACCCAAGAGGGAAAATCATTATTAAGAACAAGACCTGGGGGGAGTTCGAGGAGCTGGATATCGGATGTGCTGCCTCCCACCTCTCCCAACTGCTGGACACTCGGCCGCTCAGTCCCTCTGACCTAAAGACTCACATCCGGACCCACAGACACCCCACCCTGCACAGCACGGACATATTATGGGGGCCCAGAGACCCACAGACATGCACCTGGCCTCCCTGCCCAGTGCTCACCTGCCCTGCCCTCCAGGCCAGCATCACCGGGACCCCCAGCCAGGCCAGCAGCACGAGCATGGGGAGAACACACAGGGCACCCAGCACGGCTCCCAGCCGACGGCCCTGGATGCCAACCCCTGTGGCCTCTGAGGGGACACAGGCCCCACAACCCATAGTGGACTCGCTGTTGGGCTCAGGGCCGCATGGGGCAGTGCAGCTGGGGGACCTGGGCCGAGAAGCCCTCTTCACCGCAGCCAAGGATCGGGAAGGGAGGCAGCAACGGGCGGCTCAGATTACAGCCCCAGGGGTGGGGAGGGGGCGGAGCAGCGGCCCCTGAAGGCAACCAGCTGGCGGACTTCTGTGGGGAGCAGCCCACAGCCTCAGCCAGGGCCATGGAGATGCTGGCAGGTCTGTGGGTCGGTGGCAGTGGCCTGGGCATAGCCTGCTAGGCGGGGTCCCTGGGAGTTGCAGATGAAGAGGGCCTCAGGCAGCCAGGAGGGCAGGCTCTAGGGGCACAGGCTTCTGGAAGGGTAGTCAGTAGGGGCTCCCAAGCTGCCTGGGAGCTGAACAACCCAGTGGCTTTTATCCTAAACAGAATTCTCCCAAAACTCTGAACCCCAAGTGAGTGGAGTCTCTGTCTCCTCCAGCACTGGCCTGACAGTGTCCCTGAGAGAGAGGAGGGACGCGGCAGGAAGGGGACGTGGCAGTGAGTATGGATATGGGAGAACTAAGGGGGAAGTGGAGAAGGGTTTGCAGAGAGGCAAGGTTGGATACAGGAGGATGGGGACTTGAGGGGTCCCACTAGGGCTAGGAAGAGGCTGGAGGGGTAGGCCTTGACAGGCATCCTCAAACTACGGCCCGCAGGCCACATGCGGCCTGCCGAGGACATTTATCTGGCCCGCCAGGTGTTTTTGCGGCCGGGCGCTGCTTGTCTTGCTTACCAGCCGACTCGTCCTGGGGCCCGCAATCCGGCCCTCCAACAGTCTGAGGGACAGTGAACTGGCCCCCTATTTAAAAAGCTTGAGGACCCTTGGCCTTGGCAGTGGAGGAACTTTGCAGGGGGCTGCACAGGAGGGACTGACGGTAGAGAGACTTAGAATCCCAGATTGGGCACCAGAGAGGCAAAGGAGTTCTGGAAGTTGACAGGTGTGGGCAGAGGGCTAGGATGGTCCTGGCCAGGGTGGAGGCACTGAGGCTGGGAGACTGGACGGGCAGTCCAGGCACAAAGTTGGAGAGGGCACCTCTGGCCTGTGAGCTGAGGTTTAGGGACTAATGGCCCAGTGTTGCAGACTATGGGGTGTGGGCCAGGGGCTGGGGGGCAAACCAGACTCATGTCCGGTCGCTCCCCTTCTCTGTGCCAGCCTTGGGCTCAGGATGACAGTGGCAGCTGCAGCCTCACCAGTGGGGTCAGTGCCAAGCAACTGGCCGGCTGCCACAAGTTGGCAGGAGCAGGGCGGGTGGTTCTTGGAAAGCGCCCGGCCGCCGGGTCCAGCCAAAAGCAGCACCCCCCCTCTTCCTGGCTAATATTTGTTCCCAAAAACCGGCCCCTCCTGCTGGGCCTGCCTCTTCCTTGGGCCCACGTCCCTTCCGCCCACACTCACCGCGGACACTGCCTGGGCCCCCACCCACTCCCTTCTGGGCAGGCTCCACAGCCCGCCCCCAGGACAGAGAAAGCAGGGGACACTGAAAGGCCCCGCGAAGGAGGGGGCCCTAGAAGAGGACAGTGCAGGCCCCCTTCCTTGTCTGACTGTAGCCTGGATCACGAAGAATGATCCGTGCCCACGCCTAGAGGATATTTTTGGCCCAGAGACCAAACTGTTGGCGAGAGCTTGGACCCTTGAGATGGGCAGGAGCGGGCTGAGGCTCCCCCATCTGTCCCGGGCAGGAGGACCCCAAGGTCCCGCCCGGCCCCCAGACAGGCAGCAGGAGGAAAGATCTGAGAATCTTTTTATAAAATACAGGGTAGGGGTTTTGCGAAGGTCTTTCCAGGACGTGGCTCCGGAGGGGGCGGGGGGATGTTGCGGGCTCATACGAAGATCTGGATGCGGTCGCGGATGGGCTGGCGGCAGATGGGGCAGGCGCTGAGCGCGGCGCCACAAGGTGCGCACGCGCCGTGGCCGCATTGGAACACGAGGCGGATGTGGCTGTCTATGCAGATTGGGCAGGTGATGCGCTCCTCCATCTGTCGGTAGCGGCTCTGCAACTCCTCCACCAGCTGCCGCGGCGGACCGGGCGCGGGCGAGGCACTCACGACCTCCGAGCCATCTGCGGGGAGGGGGCCGGGGCGTGAGCAGCGAGCGGGGGTCAGGTGAGAGTAGCGGGCCGGAAACACCCACCTGGACGCAGCTTCTTGCTGATGACAATCTGACACCTGATGCACTTCTTCATCCTGCGCGCGCACTCTGCGGGGTGGGGCGGGGCGCGTGGTTGGGCAGGGCTGCGCCACGTCCCCGCGGCCCACGGGCGCCCCGCGCTGCTCGCTTCCACTCACCCTCGCACACCGTGCGGTGCTGGCACGGCGCGAAGAGCACCAGCAGGGCCAGCTCCGAGCACACCAGGCATTCCGCAGCCTCGAGCCCCGCGGCAGCCACGTGCAGGTTTGTCACGGTGTTCGGAGTGCCGAGCCTCTGCGCGGGGCCTGAGGCCACGCTGCCGCCTGCATGCCGCTCCCTGCAGTTGGAGGCGGCGGCTTGAAAGGGCCCAGCGATACGGACCCGCGCCCACCCCCGCCGCGCAGAGCTCACCGGAAGCGCTGGGCACAGCCCTGCAGGGCCTTTAGCAGGCGGCCCTCGGCCAGGTCCATTGGGCTCCGGCCACGATGGTTGGCGTAACTCACGTCGGCACCCTCTTGCGCCAGGAAGCGGGCGACGGCTGCGCCCACCGTCAGCTCGGCGCCCCCTGGGAGGCCAGAGGCCTGTAGCTGGGCGGCAGGACAGGGGCTTTGAGGGTGTACAAGAGCAGGCCAGAGAGGCCCCGGGGCAGCCCCAGCCTGGGCCTGGCCGCCCCTCTGAGAGGCCTCTGAGACTCACTCGCCTGCCCAGCCCACAGTAGACACCACTCCATTGTTCAGAGTATCAGGTGACAGGGTCATGTGGAACACCCCCCCCTCAGCACATCCCCTAAGTTGCCTGCCCCCAGAAACAGGCTCCCTGGGCCATCACTGTGCCTGAAGGCTGCAACCAGGCACCATGGTGACCCCTCTAGCACCCAGCTCCATGCATTCTCACCCTGGACAGCAGCTGCAAAGTCCCTGGGTCCCCCCCGGCCCCATCAGCCACTAGAGGCAGCATCTGATGACGCTGCAGGGCCACGTGCAGAGCTGTGTCCCCTTCTTCGTCCTCAGTGTTGACACTGCAGCCTGCATCCACCAGCAGCAGCACCAGCCCCACATGGCCCTGCTGCACGGCCAGATGCAGCGGGGACTGGAGCTTCCTATTGCGCACGTTCACATCACAGCGGCCCTAGGGGGTGGGCACAGGCTCAGCATGGATATCCCTGTGGGCCCTCACCTCCCCAGTCCCTGTGTAGGCCTGGACCCTGGCCGCACCTCCCGGATCAGGATCTGGGCCACCTCACAGTGGTTGTTGAGGGCAGCCAAGTGTAGTGCTGTGAACCCATCCTCCTTCTTGGCGTCCACCAGCTGCCGTGCCCGTGCCAGAATCTTCCTGACAGCTCTGTGAGAGCGGGGAGATCTGCTTAGGGCCTGGGGCTGTCCCCAGGTGTCCCAGCCACTGGTAGGAGGCTGGCTGCCCATTGTGTGCCTGCCCACACTCACAGTGCATGGCCCTTGAGGGATGCGTGGTGCAGCAGTGTGAAACCCTGGCTGTTGGTGGCAGTGACATCAATTCCAGGCACCTCGGTGAGAACCTCAACAATGCCACTGGCACCAGCTCCTGCTGAGATGGCAGAGTGCAGGGGTGTGTCGGCATGGGCATCCTGTTGGTGGGGAGGCAGTGGTCACCTGGTGGTTACTTTGTCTGGGGTCAAGCTGCCTCCTTAACCTCAGAGTTAAGGGCAGGACACCCAGGGACCAGCACTTACAGGCAGGTTGACATCACAACCATGTTCACACAGGATCCTCACCACCTCCAGGAAGCCCCTCTGCACTGCCACATGCAGTGCTGTGCTCCGGGTGCTGTTGAGGGCGTCTGCCCCGCACCTGGCACTCAAGAGCACCCGGGCAGCCTCAGGCTGGTTCCTGATGGGAGAGCACAGGAGGGGAAGAGATGCTGCACCCAGGGCAGGACCCTGGGGCTCAGGCACTCCAGCTTTCCCCATCCTCACCCCAAGGCCGCATAGTGCAGCGCTGTGTTGCCCTCCTCATCTGGCAGGTCCACACCTGCCCTCGCCTGCAGCAGCAGCCGCACCAGCTCCACCTGGCCCAGGTAGGCAGCCACCTGCAGGGCTGTCCTCCCCTGGTTCTTGTTGTCCACCTGCCATGAAAACCAGCAGGTCAGTTCCTGGCTCTCAGCCCTCACTCTCATGGCGAGGAAGCTATGCAGGAGACACACCTGTTGTGGATGCCTCTGCAGCAAGTCCAGAGCTCGGGCCACATTGCCCAGAGCCACTTCCACCACCAGCCTCCCTGGGTGCTCTGGGTCACTCTTCTGGGCCCGCAGTTTGTCCAAAGCCATGCTCAGTGAGCCTGGGGATATGGCTGAGGTCAGTGTGGGCCAGGGGCAGCCCCACCACCCACTGGCCACCTGGGCTGGTGCCCCACTTTTGTTCTCCCTGGCACGCTCTGCCACATCCAGATTGGCGTTCTCCTCAGGCCGGTAGGCTACCAGGCAGGAGGGGCTGAAGGTCCACCGCTGACCACCAACTGCCACTCGTAGGTTCCCATCTCCAAACACTTTCACCACTTTGCCAACATGGCCCAAGGCCTGAGGAGGAGAGGTGGGGTCACAGCAGGCCACAAGTAGAAGGGGGTGGCAGGGGCAGGGCACTCACAGGGGCCATGTCGTCTGTCCACTCGCCATGCCCAGCCTGCAGTCTCTTCACGGCATCCAGATCATCAATGACCCGGACCACATCGCCCACCCAGAAGGAGTTGTGCTGAGCAACAGAAAGATACATGAGGAGGGTTCCCCTCAGCCCTGTGTGGCTGCCCAGGGTCACAGGCACTTGGGGGTGACCCACCAAACTCCACAGGCTGTCCCTCACCCCCAACACAATCAGGTATGGCTGGATGAGGGCTACAGGTGACAAGGCAGCCCTGGGGGGCCCAGAGCCACGGGGGTGACCATCAGGGAGGAAGTTGGAAGGCCATGTTCAGAACACAAACAAGCCAGCTCCAGGGAGGTGTGAAGGCTGAGGCACCCACCCCTGGGGAGGCTGAACCCAGAAGGGCAGAAGGCAGCATGGCCAGGTGTGGGGTGGGGCTCCCTCTCAATCTGTGCCCCTATATCTGGACCCTGATCTGCAGAGAACTTGTTCTCCAAACCTGTTCTGTGACGCCCTGTGCACTCTCCTCAAAGGCTCAGGTATCCTGGAAGCCTGATACAAAGCTGAGCTGACTCTTCTACACCACTAACCCAGACCTGTCCCTCCCAGAACCCCACCCCACCTGCACCATCATGTCTCCCAAAGGACCCACTGCCCTGAGCCCTATTCTCATGATCACTCCTTCCTGCTCCACATGGCCTCATTTTCACACACAGTGCTGTCCTGGACCCCTTTGGTCCTCAGGATGGGAGGTAGCCCTGGCCTGCCAGTTCCTGGACCCCACTTCCCCCTGCCAGGCCTCCCTTTCCTTCAGGGCTGGGGAGCTGGCACTCAGTCCTGCCTGAGTACTCCTGATGCTAGGAAATACATGGAGGGATTGCAGAAGTGAATATGTGGGGCTCAGCCCAGCCCCCCATGCACCTTAGTGAGAGCCCCAGGATGGAAGGTCCAGCGGGTCTCATGGTTGAACTGCACGCGCACGTCCCCTCGGTCTGTGATACGGTGCACGGTGCCCGTCTGTCCGATAAACTGTGGCGGGTCACGGAGGCTATGGCTGGGTTAGGCTGGACTCCAGGGGAGGAGGAGGGCTGGGGTCTGGAAGACTTAGGAGGGAGGACACAGGGGCTTGGCAGGCGGGGCGGCTCACCTCTGCCATCCTGGGGTTCCAACCACCGTGGCCCTCCTGCATCTCCCTCAGGATGTCTGTGTCCAGTAGACACTTGACCTTGTCCCCATGCTGGAAGGGCTGGCCATCTGCACTCACCCTGCGCTGCAGCTCTGCTGGCTTACCTGGGGGAGGCAGGCAGGCCTCAGGCAGCCGCCCCTTCCCTCCAAGGACTTGCCAGGCAGCCTCTGCCCAGCCAGGGAGGGCGACTGGGTCCCAGCCTCATACCAAGCCTGGGAAGATGCTCCTTGTAGTAGAAGCCGCCTGCTGCCTCAGCCACACACTTGAGGTCCACCTTGCCCTTGTGGCCCACACGGTACACATTGGTGGTACCATCAGCCCATGTTACACTGGCCACACTCCGGCCTGTCTCCACATCCCAGCCACGGATGTCTGCTACTCGACCTGGCTTCCCTTCCCCTCCTAGGGAGAGAGTCCCCAGCAGCAGGCTAAGGGCTGTGCCTAGAGGCTGACCCATAGCACAGTATAGCCTCGCCCCCCTGTTCCCTATACCCCCAACTCACCATCCTGTGAGCCCCACTCCCAGTCGGGGCCCCGCACCACCTTTGCCCCTTGGAAGATGCCCCTCAGTGGGATCCTTGGGAGGCCCTGGCGGGGACTCAGTGTGACACTGCAAGACAGTGGGTCCCAAGCCACTGAGCAGCACTGCATAAGCTGCTCCACCCCCAGCTCCCAATCATACCACTGGGGCTGCAGGATGGGGGTCCCAGGTCTTCCTTGGAATGGCTGGCCCAGCAGGCCAGTGCCCACCAGGCTCGGAAGAGGTTTCATGAGAACCACAGAGGCCCCTGAGGTGGGCCTGCTAAGCACACTCCCCAGGGGACTTCCCTGACAGGGCTGGAGGGCATTCTCCCAGCAGGTCCTCTGAGGGCAGTCACTTTGTGCCCACTGCCTCCCAGTGAGCTGGGGCACAGTCTGGCAGAGAGAAGGGCTCAGGATGTAGGGAAGGGAGGAGCAAGGAGGGCAGGTGTAGCCAGCAGCACCACACAGCTGGCCCACTCCCAGGCTTCCTGCAGTTAGCTGGGATCTGACACACACTTCCCTCCACATGCAGGGAAGGACAAGGAAATAAGCATGACAGCAAACGGGATAAGGCACAGCATGTCTGCGTGCCTGGCTTAGCCCCATGGAGACTCCCTGGGCCCAACCCCCCTCCCCACAGCACAGCTGCCCCCAGCCTGGCCAGGAGTGCCTGCCCGGCCATGCCTAGGGCTGGCTCCAAGCTTGGGCTGTCCTGCCAGAGGCCTCAACTGGCCACTCCTGCCTAACCACACACAGGCCCCTCAGTGCTCTAGGGGTGGTGCTAGGACAGAAAAGACCTTGTCACCAAGCTCTCTATAGACCTTCCAGGTAGATACTGCTGGCTCCTGGGGTGGGGTGAGGTGGGGACTGGCTTCAGTGCCCTGGAGTGCCCAAGGCTCTGGCCATCCTGCAAGGGAATGGCTCAGGGAAGGGAGAAGGTAGCTCTAGTCCTCCAAGGGCAAGGCCTGGGTGGGTGTCCAGGCACCTGTCATAAGGCCCTAAACATCAGCCAGGGAGGACCCAGCATAGCCAGGGCCCCAGCAGGCTGTTGTGGGGCAGCAGGGACTCACGGGCGTGAGTGGGCAGTCTCGTAGCGCTCAAAGGCGTGGGCAAGGTCATGCCTGGCCTGCATGTAGCACTGAGTGCACAGGTCGTAGTCAGGGCAGACACGGCACTTCCAGCGCATGCCCCGTAGCCCATGCTTCTTGCAGCAGTCACAGATGATGTTGGGGTGGCGGACACCTGTGAAATGGCTCAAGTGAGGGAATAGCTGCCCCAGCTCCCATAGCCTGGGACCCGCTCACCCACCAGCCCCTGAGGCTGCGCACCAATCTGGGCGTTGTCATAGAGCAACAGGTCATGCGCGCCCTGGTAGCCAGCACGGTAGTTGGTGCGGGTGCCCTGGTCCCACTGCACGACAACTGTGCGGTCAGGAGTTGAAGGGCTGCCATGGCGGCCGAGCTCCACCACTGTGCCCACGCTGCCCTCACCGCCATCCTGTTGGCCCCACTTCCAGTCCACGCCGCGTACCACACGCATGCCCACCTGCACACCAGCCTGGGGGTCTGGGTCCATGGTGGGCAGTGCTGCTCAGGTACCTGAAAGCAAAGGGCACCCTCAGGCCATCTGCAGGCCACAGGAAAAGACGTGTGGGTCCAGGAGGAATGAGGCTGGGGGTGGGCAGGAGGACAGGTACAAGTGCCCAGGGACTGGGAGATAATGAGCATGCTCCTAGAGACCCAAGGCCAGCCCAGAGGGAATGTGGAAACCAAGGTCGGGAGCCACCACAATCTGGCCCAAGGGCTCAGCAATCAGACCTGACAGAGGTCCCCAGCACCCAACTGTGCTGGTGGGTTCCATACTGGGTGGGCAGTACAGTGAGTCACCAACATTAATTTGTTTAGAAACTAATGGGTCTGTCTCAAAAAAAAAAAAAAATAGAAACTTATGGGTTTGAATTGTAGATATCAACATGGAAGGTGAGGCAATAAAGCTTCCAGAAGAAAACAGACTATTTCTTTGTGCACCCCATCGATATGTAGCACTTAATTAAACTAAGAGCCACTGCTCCCCAAGACATGATAAGCAACCAACCCGGTGGCAGCATGTAAGATGTCGAAATACCCACGTCCCCAGAGGGAGTGCATATCCAGAGTGTGCAGAGAACTCCAGCAGGATCTGAAAAAATCAGACCACCCAATAAAAAAGCACAAGCACCAGAATGGGCCCCTGGACAGCTAACACACAGTGTCTGGTCACAAAGTGTCGCAGATGGGACACTGGGGGCAGCACAGCCAAGGTCACAGCACTGCAGGGAAGTAGCCCAGCCACCCCCAGTGTGGCAACAGAAGTGGTGTACAGTTTACAGAAGCACCTACTTTGTCCTCCAGAGTGAGCTGGGTCCTGCAAGGGCTTAACACTCGTGGAGCATGAACCCCTCGGTCTGAGTGGCAGCAGAGCAAAGCTGATCACCAATGGACACCAAGGGAAGCAGCCGAGGGCAAAACAGCACTGGGTGATTCCATTTACAAGATTGCAAAGAGACGAGCAAATTCAAGGCCTCAAGATCCAGGGTGCCAGGTAGGCATGGTGGCTCATGCCTATAATCCCAGCACTTGGGAGGCCAGGCCAGTGACACACCCTATAACCCCAACACTATGGGAAGCTGGGCCAGTGGCTCACCCCAGTGATCCCAGCACTCAGGAGGCTGGGCCCGTGGCTCACCCTTTAATCCCAGCACTTGGGAGGCCAAGGCAGGCAGATCGCCTGAGTTTGCAAGTTTGAGACCAGCCTAAGCCAGAGTGAGACCTCATCTCTAAAAATAGCAGGCGTTGTGACTGGTGCCTGTAGTCAGCTACTTGGAAGGCTGAGGCAAAGGATCGCTTAAGCCCAAGAGTTTGAGGTTGCTGTGAGCTGTGATGCCACAGTACTCTACCCAGGGTAACAGCTTGAGACTATCTCAAAAAACAAACAAATAAAAAAAAAAAAAGAAAGAAAAACAGGCTCAGCACCCATAGTACAGTGGTTACAGCTACATACACTAAGGCTGGCAGGTTCGAACACGGCTCAGGCCAGCTCAACAACAATGACAACTACAACAACAAAACAAATAGCGGGCACTGTGGCAGGTGCCTATAGTCCCAGCTACTTGGGAGGCTGAGGCAAGAGAATCACTTAAGCCCATGAGTTTGAGGTTGCTGTGAGCTGTGATGCCGTGATACTCTACCGAGGGTGACATAGTGAGACTCTGTCTCAAAAAAAAAAAAAAATCCGTAATATTCATGTTGGGAAGTGGACTGCCTCCACTCTGGCTCCCATTAACCCATTAACCATAAGGATCCCATAGCTGGGGAAGGAGGCAGTCCAGGGGCAAAGCCAAAGCAGCCTAATTCCAGAAATCACACTCAGCCAGAGGCCAGAGGGAAGGTCTGAGGCTGGCTAGGGTGCAACTGAGGGTGGGAGGGGACTACCAGCCGGCCAAAGTCTTGCCAGCTCCAGCTAGGGTCCTATGGCTGTTCGTCTCAGGACACTGAGGCCAGCCCTGGGAACCATACCTCCCCCATGGGCCCTGCTCCACCCCAGCCCAACACCTAGCATCCAGGGCCAGTTCAAGAGACACCCAAGCCTAGGCAAGGATGTGAGTAGACATCGAGGACAGGAAGCAGCCTGGCTGTGCCCCCTATTCCTGCTCTAGCTCCAGGGCTGAGTGGCTACAGCCAATGACAAGGGCTCAAGCTCCACAGTTTGTCCCCAGACCAAAGCCCAACTCAAGCCTGTGTTCAGCCTGGGGATCTGCCTGCAGAGCTGGGTTCCAGACCCATGCCCCACATTAAGTATTGGAATACTTGACCCCCTCCGATTGTCAGGGGCATGAACTTCTCAGCCAGCCTGGCCAGGACCACTAGGCTTCCATAGAAACAGGGTGTTCTGAAAACACAAGCCTGCCTTGCCTAAGAGCCTGCACCAGACAGCAGGGTTCTGCTCCTTTGAAGAAACCCTCATTAGACCAGCAGCCTTACCTGCCATGCTACACGGTCCCTCACCTGTGGCCTCTGGACCCCCCTAAAATAGGGCACTGAGGCCTGAGGCTATGCCAGGCTCCAGCACAGGGCTTTCTCTCCTTCCACAGGACAGGGCCAAGCCCAGAGCAGCGACTGCGAGATTCCTGTAGCAAGGACAGTGGCAAGCTCCCAAGGCTCTTCGGTGCCAGCAAGCCCCAGGCAAGGAGAGGGTCCTGTGAACAGCACCATGGTATCCAGGGAGGATATCTTCTTGCAGCCACCTGCACATAGTCCTCCACTTCATCAGCTGCCACAAGCGCTGGCAGTGGCATCAACCAGAGCAGCTACTCCCTGCCTTTTAGGCCACACAGGACCAGGGGTGACCCTCCCCACGACCCCTGTAGCATAATTCCCCTTGACAGCGCAGTAAGCCCATCAGGTCAGGGTCTCCAAGGACACCCCTAAGTACATCCACTGGGAGTCTTATCCAAGTCCAGCCCCCATAAACTTTGATGTTTACTGACTGGCTGAGTGAATCGAAAACAGCAGAGAGAGCTCATGCTTGGCTCCTGTGACAACCAACAAACCCCACCTCCCACAGGCCCAACCTGGCCCAGCCATTACCACCTGTCAAAACACCGACTTTGTGCTCCTGGAGGCCTGGTGCTGGTGTGTCATCCTGAGCACACAGTGGTAGCAGCACATCTGCATGGACAGTCCCTTTGGCCACCCAGCCTGATTGCCCTTGACTCTGCTCTGGAGATCCTCCCATGCCCACTGCAGCTGTCAGGGGGAGGTCACCCTTCCTTCCCTTGGCTGGGCAAGCAGCTTCCCACTGCCTGATCTGCAGAATCACTGGCTGGAGGACAAGCCACACAGACCTCCTGCTCTCGCACTCCTGCCATGGTTTCAGCTTCTGCCATGCCATGAAGCTCCCAGGAAAGTGCAGGTGCCCCCAGGCTAAGCCTCCCCATTCCTAGCCTCCTCTGCACAGGAACCTCCCTGCACACAGGATGCAGGCAGGAGAAGCTGACACAGTGGCCTGCAGTGGCACTGCTCCATAGGGGTGCAGACCCCACCCTGGCAGGCTACCAAGCTCTGCCACATCCACACACACCCTCCTCCCTGCCCAGAGCTGCCAGAACTGGTCTCAGCCAGGGGAACACATTGAGCTGAGGCCTTCTCCCCACCAGACACTCCTGTTTAGCCAGAGCAGAGCTCATTACAGGCAGTCACAGACCCCTACTGGAGGTATGTGCTAGCAGGAGACACCCCACGTGCCAACCCCTGAAAGTGGCCCAGAACTGATGAAAGACTTTGAGCAGGAAAAATCCCAAGTGCCACAAGCCAGTACTGTGGTCATTCTGCAGCCAAGGTGGCATCCCCCATCCCTGACCCCAGTCCCCAGCTGGAGCCAGCCCTGCCCAGGCCAGTCATCACACCCACCCAACCTGGGGCCCTACAGTTCACTGGCCACATGCCACTGAACCTTTCCCAGCAAAACATGGTGAGGCCCCAAGCATGACAGCAAGCATGGCCTGTGCCCAGCCCTGCTTTCAGGGGAAGAGGCAGAGACAAAAGACATCTAGGTAGGAGGTACTCAGCAGGGTCTTTGAGAAATCAGGACCAAGTTTTAGCTGGCCACCACTCCAGAGTGGCAGGGGAGGTTACCAGAGGAGTCAGCCTGTGCCAGAGTTGCCTCTGACCAATACCCCTTTGCAATGGTACTTGGGGCTTCAGCACAGCTAGACAGTTCTCTAGCCCAGCTGGCAAACTGCCACCCTCCCAAAGGTGGTTGCTCCCAGGGGCTCACCAGGGAGGTGATCATTTCCATGCCCAGGGTGGAGACAGGGCAGGTTGCAGGGAGGTGCAAGGAGGCTTCCTTCCCCCACCACTTATGCTGCTCAGGAGGCCCCAACAAGAGCAAAGTGCTAAAGGAGCCCAGATAAGGAGCTCAGTGCATCTGCCCATTCCACCATTCCCCCCAAGCACTGGGCTGTGGGGTTTACACAGAGGTTTACAGCCTGGTAGTGCCAGCCTGGCAGCCTCCATAATGCCTCCTCTGCAGGACCTCATCTTTGGGGATTTTTGGGTCTGTCTACGACTCCCTCTGTCACTTCCCTCCACTCAACGCACCCTGCCCTCCCTGCCTGGTCTTTATCACTGTCTTTCCAGGCCCAGCACCTGCCCTCAGGCTCCTGGCACCTTCAGCCTTCGGGCTCACTACCTTTCCCCTCCAGGGTATAGAGGGCAGGGGTGGTGAGCCTGGAGTGGCCCAGGCATAGGAGCAGGGAGGCACCGAGGTGACCTGGGCACCTAGGCACCTGCAGCCAGACCTAGCATGTGCTCCCCTGTCTCTGGGAGATCTCCATCACAGGGAGACAGGGTCCCACCATCCTCAAAAGGCTTAGGGACTATGGGATCTCACAGGTAGCCTGACCATCCCAGAATGAAGCTTGTAGGCAAAAGGGCTCATCCTTTGGGCTTCCCTGACCATGAGATCAGGCACTTCCATGCCCAGGGTGAGATGTGGGTAAAACTGGCCCCTCGAAGGCACCGGCTACAGGCCTGAGGATGGCAGACCACAAACTGCTGTATCCCATATCATCCTCTGAGCAAGTCCAGGGGTGGCATGGATGCCTGGACTGCACTCTGCACCCAAAAAGGCCACCCTCCAGGCTTCAAGTGAATACAGGCCAAGAGGCACCCCAGGTGAGGAATACCTGACAAGGGTCGGAGGATCCTGTCCCAGGGACAGATGTTCCCCCATGGGCCCTGCCTCCTCCCAGGACCTACCAAGCCTCCTGATGACTCTCCTGTACCCACCCCTTCTGGAGAGCAGGAGGCCTCCAAGCTGCCCACTCCTACCTTCCTGTCCTCACCCCAAAAGGCTCTAGGCAGAGGTACTCTATGAGTACCCTGCACAGGAGGCTGCAGTGGACAGTGCAAACATCCCCAGCTGGCCCAGGCCCAGGCATCCCAGAAATACCAAAGTCAGAGACATCCTACGGCCACGCAGGAGTTGGAACCTGATGTGCATGGAGGGGCTCCAGGGAGAGCAGCACCCCCACAACCCCATACACGTGGCTCTACTTTCAATCCCACAGAAGCAGTTGCCAATCCATTCCCTGCTATCCCTACTGTAAGTACACACCCAAGACTTCACAATCAGACACTGAACACTGCCACAAAACACATGCTCACGCATGCCACCATTGCAGTGAAAATTACCTACCTTTATTTGTTTACCAGAGCTTACCGGTCGTGCCCCTGGCTGGCAAGTGAACCCCAGCAGAGGCTATGACTCCCTCGTTGAGTCAGAGCAGGAAGATTTGGGCAACAAATATGCTTTAGCAAAATCAGAACTCACCTCAGAGTACACACCAGCCTCGAGTTGACATCCCAGGCATTTAGTTGCTACTTCCTGGGTCACAAATTCACTGGGCCACCAAATTTTTCTGTTGGCAACTAGAAGCCATTGCCAACATTGAACACGGCAAACCAAACAGGCAGCCAGCAAACCAGTCTGGAGAAAAGTGGTTTTTAAAAGGCAGTTTTACACATTTAGCATTTACCATCTTAACCACACAAGTAGTCACTGGGACTGTTCTCTCGGTTACCACATTCGCTTTTCATAAAAAAACTCGAGCTCTTGGGGGAACAAGTATTTCTGAACCATAAATCTAGACAGTATGGGAGTAAGGTGTTCTCCTATTTATGGGTACTTTAAAAAGCCGCAAAAACCAAATCATATTTAGCCAAGAAAGTAGTAAATGGTCTTTATTCAGAAGCATAAAATTACGGAAGACTGAGGTAGCACAGGTGACAAGGCTCCCTTTGCCTTGCACTTCTGGCTATTCCTAGTGACAGTGCTGAAATGACATTGTGTGTGGCAAAATCAACTGGCAAAAACTGGTGAATGACAGGTCACGTCCACATGGCAGACCTGGCTAAGATGCAAGTGGACGTCCTGGGCTCCCAGAAGGTCAGGGCCACTGCGAAATGAGGTGAAGCCCTGAGACAGAGGCCAAGAAACCAAACTTGGGGGAAGCCCCATGAAGCTGTCATCACCTCAAACCTTGGCCATCCAGGCAGACACCCTCAGGCATCCAGCAGACTGCAGTGTCACTCACACCAGCCCACTGCCCTAAGCTGACCTTGAGCAGCAGAGCGACATTCAGATATTTGTCACATCCACAGCAACAGGGCAGAGTGGAGCGGGAGAAAAGTGAATCTCCTAGGGAGGGCTAGACTGGTCAAGGCCCCTGCGCTGGGCCGTCCTGTCCCCAGGCCCGCGTGCCCACCAGCAACCTGCCTAGCACCTCTGCTTCCCAGATAGACTCTGAACTCAGAAGAAGAGAAGCAAGATTATTTGTCACTCCTCCTGCCCACCCACATTCAGGTTCCAACGCAAACGCCAGCCCTTGGATGCGGGTCGGAACGAATCCACAGGGTGCAGCGCCGAACGCAACCCAGCAGGCCACCAGCAGGTCGTAAGCTCACCTGTCCGTCCGTGCAGTAGTCGCCCGCCCGCCCGCGACTCTCCGGCCTCTGCCTCCTGCCTCGCTGAGCTCCGTCTGGCGCCGGCTCTGAGCGCTACAGCCTGCGGCGGCGTGAACACTCGCATAAGCCCCGCGGGCCGCCCACCCCGCTGCCTGGCCCCCGGGCCCCAGCGGCCGCGGCTTGCACCCGTCAGGGCCGCAGCCCCCTGCGAGACTCAGGGCGCGCGCGGGCACCAGCAGCCGGCCCCTAGGCGAGAATCCAGGAGCCCCGAGCCTGCCCCGCGGCCACCCCGCTCACTCGGAGCCCGGATCGGGAAGAACACAGGCGCCGCAGACCCTCCACTTGCCGGCAAGTTTCCGTCCCGGCCGCTCGGCCCGGGGGCGGGGCCCGAAGAGCGCCGAGGCCCGCGGCCAGCCCGTCCGTCAGCCTGTCACGGCGCGCGCTCCCGCGCCCCCGGGACCGCACGGAGCCTGCCGGGATTTGTGGTCCAGAGACGCAGGGGCGCGCAGAAGTAGCTCCCAGGAGGCCTCGCGACAGGGGCCACTGCACGCAGGCTTCAGCCCTCCGGCGCGGGGAGGTGCTGCGTGTGGCGCGAGGACTGGGGGTGCGCTCGCGTTCTAACGGGGAGCAAGTTTCAAGTAAAGCACGCAAGACTCGGGGGGCAGGTTCCACTCCCGCACGCAATGTCACTCGGGAGGCCGCCTCACCCTGCGACAGCACCTGGAGAAGGACCGGAGGCCCAACCCGTTTGGGCTCGGTCGCTGCAGCCACTCCCTTGCGCTTGGGACGTGGCTATTATCGGAAGTGCGTCAGGGGCAGGCGCCGGCTCTCCGCCTGGTGTTGCGCAGTTGAGTACTGGGCGCTTGCAGTTCCGAGGGCGCGTCTCGTGGTGGTGGAGACTGTGACTCCGCCTGTGACGTCAAACTTCGGGGAGCTCTCGTAGCTTCCTGCGACCAGAGGCAAGCAGCCCTCTTGGACAGCTGTCCGCGCCCCGCCTCCGGCCGCATAAACAAATGCTTCTGGGTAACCGAGCGCAGTGGCTCGCCGTGTAATTCTAGCACTCTGGGAGGCCGAGGCCGGTGGATATCTTGAGCTCACAAGTTCGACACCAGCTTGAGCAAGAGCTAGACAGGTCTCTTCTAGAAAACAGTAAAACTAGCCAGGTGTGGTGGCGCCTGTAGTCCCAGCTACTGGGGGAGCTGAGACAAGGTGATGATGTCTTGAGCCCAGGAGTTTGCGATTACTGTAAGCTGTGATGCCAAGGCACTCTACCCACGGCAAGAGAGTGAGAGTCTGTCTCCAAAAAAATAAAGAAACTCGAGAGGCGGGGACTTTGCGTCTGGCCCGGCAGCCTGTTGTACGTAGCAAATAACAGCTCATTTCCAGGGAAAGTCCAGTCATCTCCTGCCCCATTTGTGTCTCCAGAATTAGAAGGACTTTGGGCGCGTGGCATACTGTCCAGGACTTAGCAGATGCTCTCTGCAGCATACCCGTAGGCCCAGAGTCTAAAGTTTGTCTTCCCCCAGGAGCTGACCCTGGGGTACATATGTAACCCCACTATCTGCTGTGGTTTCTTGGGCAGAAATCTGGACATTTTATTTATGTATTTATTTATGCAATGACTTGGCCATTTTAAGTGACAATACCTAGCATCGTGGGGACATTATGTGGGTAATACTCTGCCAACCACCACAGATACCTCACGTCTACAGAAGACTATCCAGAAAATTCTAGAGTGTCTGAAAGCCGCAAAATGGGCTGGCCACCCACAGAAAGTCCAGGGACCAGTGAGCACCATAAAACTCCTCAGCACAGCTTAGGCAAGTGACACTGGGTTTTGCCAACAGCTGTAACTGAGAAGATATGGGCCTGTCTGTGGCCCCAAACAGTCGAAGTACAAACCATTATAGGTCTGCAATACTTGCAACATATGGTACCCCATGAAACATTACCAGTGATCAAGGAGCACATTTCTTTTCTTTCTTTTTTTTTTTTTTGAGACAGAGCCTCAAGCTGTCGCCTTGGGTAGAGTGCCAAGGCATCACAGCTCACAGCAACCTCCAACTCCTGGGCTCAAGCGAGTCTCCTGCCTCCACCTCCCAAGTTGCTGGGACCACAAGTACCCGCCACAACGCCTGGCTATTTTTTTTTCCGTTGCAGCCATCATTGTTGTTTGGCGGGCCGGGCTGGATTCGAACCCACCACCTTAGGTGTATGTGGCTGACGTCTTAGTCACTTGAGCCACAGGCGCCGAGCCAAGGAGCACATTTCCTGCGCCGCCTAATCCAAGATTGGGCAGAAGGGGAAGGCTTCACATAGTAGTTTCATCTGCCTTGTGACCCACAGGAAACAAGACTTATAAAAGGCGACGCCTGTGGCTCAGTGGGTAGGGGGCCCCCCATATACTGAAGGTGGCAGGTTCGAACCCGGCCCTGGCCAAACTACAACAACAACAAAAAAAGGCATTGTGGCGGGCACCTGTAGTCCCAGCTACTTGGGAAGCTGAGGCAGGAGAATTGCTTAACCCGGTGAGTTGGAGGTTGCCTTGAGCTGTGACCCCACAGTACTCTACTGAGGGTGATAAAGTGAGACTCTGTCTCATAAAAAAAATAGAGAAGGAGAAAGAAAAATAGCCTTTTTTTCTTTTATTGAAACAGAGTCTTCTATTGCCTGGGGAGAGTGCCATGGCATCATCATAGCTCACAGCAACCTCAAACTCTTGGGCTCAAGAAATCCTCCTGCCCCAGCCTCTCAAGTAGCTGGGACTAGACACACCAACCACAATACTCAGCTACTTTTTCTATTTTAAGTAGAGATAGGGTCTTCCTCTTGCTCAGGCTGGTCTTGAACTTCTGAGCTCAGGTCAGCTCCCTGCCTCAGCCTCCCAGAGTGGTAGGAGGTGTGAGCCACTGTGACTGGCCCCAAAATAGTCTCTTACATAAACAAATTAAGCCCTTGATAGGACATGCCTCACTGAGAAATCGGGTTGTAATTTTATTTTATTTTTTTGAGATACAGCCTCACTTTATTGCCACTGGTAGAGTACCATGGCATCACAGCTCACAGCAACTTCAAACTCTTGGGCTTAAGAGATTCTCTTGCCTCAGCTTCCCAAGTAGCTGGGACTACAGGCACCCGTCACAACACACAGCTGTTTTTTAGAGATGGGGGTCTTACTCTTGCTTAGGCTGATCTGGAACCCAGAAGCCCAAGCAATCCACATGCCTCAGCCCCCCAGAGGAAGCCACTGCCCACAGCCTGGGCTGTAATTTTAATAAAAGTTGCATGTCTCTTGCTTGAGCAGTTTTAGGGATCTCCTTGGCCAAGAAGAGTGCAATCAGTCAGCTGCTGCAGGGAGGCTTAAGATTTTATTTTCTTTCACACAAGCAATAACCCAAACAGCTTTATCAGTGCCTTGGAATGTTAATGCCTGCAGGGAAAACACTCACCCAGATCACAGAGCTAGCAAGGTCCTCTGTGTTTCTGGCTCAGGATACAGGAAGAGAGCTGAGGATCCTGGTGGATCCTACAAAGTGGCAGTGCTACTCAAATGGTAGCTCATGCCTGTAATGCCAGCACCTTAGGAGGCCAAGACAGGAGGGTGGCTTGGCCCAGGAGTTCCAGACCAGGCTGAGGAACATTCAGAGACCCCCAGCTCTACAAAAAATTAAAAAATTAGCCTGATGGTGCCAGCCTATAGCTACTCAGGAGGCTGAGGCAGGAGGATCACTTGGGCCCAAGAGTTGGAGGCTGCAGAAAGCTGTGATGACTCCACTGCACTCCATCCTGAAGGACAGGGCAAGACCCTGTCTCAAAAAAAAAAAATTAAAAAGGAAAGAAGAAAGAAGGGGAGAAAATTAACAGATACAAAATAAAGGACAGAAAAAGAAAGGTAGAACAAAGTTAAAGTTCATGGGTTTTTAAAAAATTATCTGGTTAAAGTTCATGTTATTTTATTTTATTTATTTATTTTATAAGAGGAAATAAGCAACCGGCCGGTTGCTTATGGCATAGAAAAATTCCAAATGGCCATGCTCCTATTTATTTATTTATTTGAGACAGAGTCTCACTGTGTCACTCTTGGTAGAGTACCATGGAGTTACAGCTCACAGCAACCTCCAACTCTTGGGCTTAAGCTATTCTCCTGCCCCAGTGTTTCTATTTTTAGTAGAATTAGGGTCTCCTTTTTTGCTCAGGCTGGTTTCGAACCTGGGAGCTCAAACTATCCACCCTCCTCGGCCTCCCAGAGTCCTAGGATTACAGG